AGAGAATAGATTCATTCATAGGAAAATGGATACATATTGAAGATATACTCCTAAGTGAAATAAATAAGTCCCACATGTGTAAATACCGAATAGTTTCCCTGGTGTGAATATTCTGCAACAATGCATAAGATTCTAATAAGATTACTGACATTTAGAAATGGGAGGAAAGGAGCTAAAGGTGTAGGGAAGGTGTGATACGTAGGGGAAGAACAAAAAGGGAAAAGAAAAAAATGTGAGAGAATGAAAAGATGAAAATAAAGTGTTTGTAGATGGGGAGGGGAGGAGGGGGTGAAGGGAGGGCAGAGGTAAGGGGAAAAAAATGAGAATCAAGACTTGCCATGTAAAGGTACATGATCCCAACAATAAATGTAACTGTACTGTATCCCTAAATGTACCAATAAACTCAATAAAAAAAAAATACTTAAAAACATAATATGTCTACAAATACATCAGAATGTCTACATATGAGAAAAGAGAAAGTAAAATATGCATTCTGGAATAAAAACAGCCCTTTGAAGAAGCAGGTGGTGGGAAACTGGTAGTCTGCTATCATCAGTTAAGAATCTTAGTTGGCTGGGTTGTCGGGATTGCACGCTGTTTTGAAGTTTTTTATTTGGCAATTCTTGCTGTTGCTTTATATTACTTGTAGAATAAATGATTATTTTTAAAAATAATCTTAACCAGCAGAATAGCTCCATTCTGCAGCAGAACTAAGACAGGGCAAAGGTATGGGGAGAGAAGCATCCCAGATTAGCAGAAATAAACAGGAGATAAAAATTCATCATATTCATAAAAGACCTCCAGTGGCCATGAGTCACTGCCATCAGACTGAAAAGACCATCTGTTGCAAGGTCAAACAGAAGAGACCCATTAAAAATTTGTGATATGCCCATTCAATGGAGTATTACCCACCAATAAGAAGAAAATACCACTGAAACCCACAGCAATATACAAGAATCTCACAGACATTACCCTGAGTGAAAGAGCCAAACACAAAGGAACACATATTTTCTTGTAAATTAAATGTCTATGAAATTCTAGAAAGACCAAAACTATGACCACAGAAAGTAGGCAGACAAAGAAGAGGCTGGCTGCAGGGGAATAAGAAGAAAAAATGTGGGGGCATAGAAATTTACCTTAACTATGTGGATGTTTACACTAATATACAGCTGTCAAAACTTGTTTGATTGTATCCTTAAAAAGGGTAATTTTGTGGTCCAGGTATTTAGCTCAGTGGTGCAGCTGCCTGCCTGGAAAGCACAAGGTCCTGAGTTTGACCTCTCGTACCAAAAAAAAAAAAAAAAAAGTGATTTTGTTGTATGCAAAGTGTAACTCAATAAAGTTGATCTTAAAAATATAAATAATGAAAGGTTTTGAGAGAGAACCTGATATTCATTCCCTTGTGTGTGCATGCACAGTGGTATCTATAGCTGAGTGATGGAAATGTGTGACCACCCTCAGGACCATAGGATTCTGGACTTAATTAGATGAGGTCAAAATTTCAAGCATTAGGGAGAAAAGCAGAGCTTCATCCAGCTGTCTCCCCACATCCTCTGCACAGGCACCAAAAGAGACCAAGCTGAGGCAAAGTAGTACAAAGCCCTACCCTAAACCTCCCTGCAGGTCCCAGGCAGCCCAGGTAAGGAAGAGCTCACCTGCTTCCTCAAGGCCAACTGCTCCAGCCTTGGGCACCATTACCAGAGGTTGAATGGTGTGGGCTGGCTGGAATTTCTGGATCTGCTTATCCCCACAGGCCCAAGAAAGTGATACTGGTTTCAGCCAAGGCAGATCCATGTTTCCACCTCCAGATGACTCATGCGGTGACAGCACATCAGAACCAGAGTGGTGGGCACTGCCTGATCTGCTCTCTATGAGGAGCGGCCAGCAGCATCCTTGCTCACACCCATGGTTCATTCCCTCTTCTGTCTGGGGCAGGAGCCCCAGATGTGGTACACATCACTGATCATCGAATTCTGGGGCAAAAGGAAGAGTATTACAACTGCAGCCCTCACTAACAGCAATTTCAGAAGACAGGACAGGCCATGAGCTTAGCTGGTGGGAAGGCACATGAGGAATACCTTGCCCTGTTGTAAAAAGGGGAGCAGTCAAGAGGAAAGGGTTATAGAGAGTTCCAACTCCAGCCAGTTCCTGGTAGCTGCAGGTGGATTTAAGCATATCACCATGAGGTGGACTCTGTCTGCGTGGAAGGCAGAATAATATATTTATCAAGGAAACTGAAGTCAGCATCTGACCAGAAGATTCTTACAATGAGGCAAGAGGATGGCAAATTTGAGCTCAGCCAGGGCCATTTAGCAACTTAGTGAGATGCTATCTCCAGAAAAAATAAAATGGGTTGGGAGTAGAGCTCAGTGCAAAGACCCTGGACTTAATTCCCAGTAAAGAAAAAGAAGAGAAAGAGCAAGAAGAAGAGGAGGAGGAAGAAAGGGTGGAGAAAAAGGAGGAGGAGGAAAGAAGGACACTCGGAAGCTCCAAAGATTAATGTCAGTCGTAGCTATGTTAAAAGAAAATAATGGTGATTAATCATTACAACAACTTGCATGTGTCTGTAGCCTCGTGGTTTCCAGAGTGCTTTTGTTTAAACTAATATACTTGAATTTCATGGCAACATCAGGGACAAGGAAGTCAAGGTCAAGGTCATGCTGTAAATTCTTATATCAATTCAGAAAAGCATTTTTAAAATGTAATTCATTTAGTGACACAGTTCAATAGAATTGGCTATTAGATATTAAAATATCTAATATGTATTTAAATCTTTGTAATAGTTGAAGAGAAATCCTCAAAGTCTACACTTAGTGGAAGACATCATCTTTTCATTCTCAGCCAGCCCTAACCTGGCTCATGCATCAGCACAGTCTCCTCACATGTAACGCACGCTTTCCTTTGGCTTACATTTTTGTCTACAGAGCTGAGAGTTGATAATTGGTATTTGCTTTTTACTATAATAAAGTTTTCATTAAAATAAGGAGCTTGGGTACTGGGGATTTGGCTCAGTGGTTCTGCCGCCTGCCTCGCAGGCACAAGGTCCTGAGTTTGAACCCAGGTACCAAAAAAAGAAAGAAAGAAAGAAAGGAAGGAAGGAAGGAAGGAAGAGAGGGAGGGAGGGAAGGAGGAAGGAAGGAAGGAAGGAAGGAAGGAAGGAAGGAAGGAAAAGAGAAACCGACAGACCATATCTACTCACCAGCAGAGCTGCTGGCTGTCAGAGGAACCCCTACTTAACCTCCTTCTCTGGAACTCCTCCCCTTCTGGTCACCATTTTCCAGGATGGTGAACTTATCCATGGCTTGCATGGGTCAATATGGGCAAATTGTCCTTTTTTTCAGCGTCCTCACCTG